CTGGCCACCATGGTGGTGAAGCAAAACAGGTTAAGCCCGCCACAAATAAGGGCTCCAGCTTGTTTCCTGAGGCTGCTCCCTAAGTCTGAACACTTAGTCTATATGTCTAGTATTAGTCTATATAAGTCTAGTACTAAATGGGGAGTTTGGTGGCCCTGAATGTGGCAGGGGGGTTGGAGATTCATGATCCTTGAGGTCCCTTCCAACCCTGGCCATTCTGTGATTCTGAGAACACTTCTCACAAACAACAATTTTCAGGATAGAATAATAGAATCACTGAGTTTGGAAGAGACCTCTAAGATCATTTAGTCCAACCATACACCTCCCTTCAATATTACTCACTAAACTGCATCCCTAATTACCACAACCATGTTTCTTGAACACCTCCAGGGATGGTGACTCCACCACCTCCCTGGGAAGCCTGTTCCAGGGCAGCATCATTCTTTCTGAGAACAAATCCTTCCTAATATCCAACTTGAACTTCCCTGACACAACTTGAGGCCATTAACTCTCATCCTATTGCTGTTACCTGGAAGAAGAGGCTGACCCCACCTCGCTACAAACTTTCAGATTGTTCTAGAGAGTGATAAGGTCTCCTCTGAACCTCCTCTTCTCCACAGTGAACACTGCCGGTTCCTCAGCCACTGCTCATAGAACTTTCCCCCATCCAGCCAGGAATGATGGCCATGTCCAGTCTCCAGTGAATGTGAAACTAGCCCCAGCTGAAATTAGAAGCAGCCATCAGCTGTTTCCCCAGGGCAAAGCCTCAACAGAGCACCCAGGTCCTCATCACCCCCCTTTTGGCTCCCTCAGGACTCCCACCTTCTACTGCAGGCCACCTTCCTCTTGCCCCAGCAGCACGGTAAGATTACACTGCCAGCCCCTCGACCACTCACTCAGGTCTCCTGCCCGCCCAGTTCGTCCTCCCCTGCCTCATTTTAAAATGTAAACGTCGGGTCTGATTTCACGGCTCCCGCTCTCCTCCCCCACCCGCAGCACTAGGCCGCCGATCCCCGGCCTTGCGTAGCGGCCACCGCGGGCGGAAGCGCCACCTCCGCCGGCCGGGGCTGCGTGGAGCCGGCGATGCCTTCCGAGCCCCGCGGGGCTCCACCAGGTGCCCGCAACCGGGCATCACTCCACTCCCGGTGCTGCCGGGGAGGAAAATAGCCAGGTTTCCCGGAAAACGGAAAAGAAGCCCAAACATACTCTTCCTCCTTCCCCATCCCCCCCCCCCCCCCCTCCCGCTTCAATAGAAACCACACATCTCCAGGAGTCCGGGGGGAGGGGGAGAGACTCTACGAAAAAGGGAAAATAAAATAAAAAATAACCTCTCGTGCTACCCGGAAGCTGCTTAAAACATTAAGAATTAAATACAAAAAATAAATACAAAAGCAGAACCTTCTCATTTGATAAACTTTACAAGCTCTAAGGAAGGTGCATTTGGGAAGCTGTTCCAGCTGAGCTTCTCCACTGTTCAGCGGGGCTTTTACCAAACAGGAGGGAGAGCTGCAACCCAAATACAGCCCCAAACGCAGCCCTGAAAGCTACGAGCCACGAGCACAATGAGCCCCAAGTTCTTAATACAAACCCAGGGGCTTTTCCCCTCGCTGTTCACTTTCAGATTACCATCACATTTTTTCCGGGGGGTGGGATTAGGATCTCTGACAATTATTTTTTTTGCAAGCCCCACATTTTTTGGCAGAAGCGGGGGGTTAGCTTCCGAATGTCGCCAGTATCATTTTCCCCCACTTTTTTTTTTTTTTGCAATTACACAACATTGCATCTATGCAGTCAGCATTGGAAACCTTTACTTTTTAATGAAGCGATGTCCAGATTTTCTCGTTTCACAAGTCCACCCCCTGTCTACATACACACATACACACACATAGCCATTCGGTTTAATAATAATAATAAAATAATCATAAAGGACTCACCTCTCCTCGGGTTCTCCCCCACACGCTACGTATAACTTTCCTCGATAAATGGTATTATATTACTAGAGGTATTATTAACGTATTATTACTATAAGTAATAATAACAGTAAGTGCTATTTAATTATAGGAGGGAGCATTCTGCTTGTGGATCGGCTGCCCCTGCAGCTCCCTCCATGTGCCTCCTGAGCTCTTTACTTTCATTTCCAGGTCTCTCGCTCTGCTCGCTCGCAGCCGCACCAGCAGAGAAAATGCCTCCCGCATATCCTCTGGGCCCTAGAGGCTACCGCTTCCCACAGCCTACATGCATGCAGCTTTCCCTCTTGGATGGTGCTGAGATTCTTTAAGTCGAATTAGGCTTAAAAAATAATAACAAAGCACTGAAATATTTGAAACTCTGTTCTTGATTTTAATACAATGTTGTTAATGATTTATTCAGTCTGGAATGCACTTACTGCATCCCACACTGCTGACGGCTTCCCTGAAAATACGATATATAAACATGAACCTTCCTGTAGAAATGAAAATACTGTGTGTATATATAAAATATTAATATTATTGCATTATATACTGTTGCATATTATACAAAAGACATATATGTAACTTACATGCACATAAAAATCTTCTGGAATTAAACAAAAAATTTTGGAATTAAATGCTTGGCTTGTTCTCATCTCAAACCCATCAGTGTTTCTGGAAAATGAACTACCCAGCCACAACACCCCACATAATAGCATCATGGGAAAAGGATGTTAACATAGAGGTACACAGATCACCTCGGATAAAGATTTCATCCCTCCCCGCCAGCAGCAATGTCTTTAACTTCAAATATTGCTCTGAAATGAGCATTATGCTTGGCTCCCAACCTTGCCTTGCTGATAAGATGGGTTCTCCACTCCTCAAAGACTTCTGCCTCCCATCAGGTCATAATTTCCAGACTGACACCAGTTTAAATTATCCCCCTTTTTCATATATAATCAGGGACATGTTTACTCCTCAGTGCCTCACTCCTCTATTTACCATGACCTAAAACAGCATCACTCAGTGATTTGCAGAAAAGCATCTCAGGTAATATTCAGGTGCGGATAGAAGGTATCATCCAAAACGTATTAAAACTCCTTAGGATTCAGAATGTTTTAATCAGAGTAGGAAATACTTGATACAGAGTAGGATTGGCTGCCAGCAGTCCTGTCAGCACAATAAACTGATAATTTACAAAATATAGACTGTGAATTGTATAATGTACCATACAACGTTGGAGGACATTGTCCTACTCTCTTCACAATATTTAATAACAATCTACTTTTTTTTTTTTTTAGATATTCATTATGTTGTCCAATACAACCTAAAGACTGACTACTCTGATTCAGGGATAGGACAATGCTTATTTTTGCTACCTGTTCAGCAGATTACCTCTTACTTGAACACCTCCAGGGATGGGGCACTGAGCGAGTCACAGAGGCCAGGATGCCTCCAACCATGCTCTCAGAGCTAAAAGGCAAGATAAAAACAGCTGGATGAGAGGAACAAGAGCACTTAGAAGCCAAGGAGAAAGCGGAACTAAACCATGATCTATTCACAATAAGGAGTTATCCTGGAAAAAACAATGTATTTTTATACAGGACAGCTTATACAACATTATTTTTCAAGATTGAGTTTCAGCAGTGTATAATCAATAGACAACAAGATATTATAATCACAATATAGTTGTATAATCAATAGATATCAAGATGTTATTATCACAATATAAACAAGAGAGTTAGGCAAAGTAGACAACGATAACAAAAAGAGAATAAGTGGAAGAGCTTATCCTTTGGCTGGGCTCACCACAAAACACCAAGAGAGGTGATCTCCAGAAGAGATCCTTCCCCACTGGCAGCCAGCTCTTAAATAGGTCTAGGAGGAGTGGAGCCTGGCTCCACCTCTTCCGGCAGCACAGGTGAATTGCCTTCAGCTGTGCTCCTCTGGCTGACTCATGGCTCGCCTCAGGTGATCCATCAGACAATTCCATGATTCTCTGTGATTCTATGAAAATTCTCATAATTTGGAAACATGGTTATCCAGGTCTTGTATTCAGTAGAGTCAAAATGCTGCAAATCTCTACTGCAAAATATGGCAGTGTCATAAAACTAACTTTAACATGTAAAGCTGTACTTGTAAGGAGAATTAATTTACCTATGCTGCAATGGCACAGCACACATTCACTGCACTATGTCTGCAGCCATGCAGGTTTTATCCCCGATCCTTTGGCTCAGCCAATATTTGGCAGAAAGAGGAAAGAATTGGATATATTTGATACAATCCTGCTTATTGCTTTAGACTGTGATGAATTGATAACAAGTGCCACATTTCTTGCTCATACAGTGGCAGTTGTGAAAGTAATGCCTCTTTATTTTATAATGTTGGCTTATGACATGAAAGGTGCACGATGGCGGTGAGACAGTAGAAGTTGAACCTTCCCACCAGTATCCTGCTGTGCGACGGGTAGCAGCAGAGGGGCAGTCTGACAAAATGGCATCTGACATGGAAGTGTGTATGAAGCAAAGTTGTGTCACTGAATTCCTGCATGCAAAAAAATTGCATCTGTTAACATTCACTGATGCTTGCTGGATGTTGATGGAGACCAAACAGATGCGAGCACAGCGAGCACACTGAGGAGGGGGTGGTGCCTCTCAGCAGCAAGTGACGGTGCAAATGGGGTGCAGATTGTTATGAGCATGGCATGCAGGCTCTTGTTCCGTGCTGGCGAGAACAGGCAGCCTAATGGTGGTGACTATATCGAAAGACGGCGTTTTGTCGCTGACAATTTGCTCTATCAAATAGTTCTACCGCAACAGACGGAAGCCCGTTCCTAGATTCAGGCCCCGTAGGGTTCCCCCACGCGAGGCACGCCGGGAATGCGCCCCTCCGCAGGACTCTATATCCCAGCATGCCCCGCGGCCTCGCCCACGAGCGCAGCTTGCGTCACTCCGGCGAGCGGCGTCACGCGCGGGGCGGCTCTCAGTGACGCAGCTCCTTGCAGCCAATGGGAGCGGGGAGAGCAAAACTGCCGGCTTTCAAATCCTCCGCCTCCGCCCGCCCCTCCCCCACCCGCTCCGGCGACAGCGACGGCGGCGTGAGGCGGCCCCGTGCCGGCGACACCTCGGCCCCTCAGCGACCCGCACCCGGCGGAGGCCCCGAGGTGAGATCGGGAGGCGCGGCGGCCGTCGGGGACCGCTGGGAGGGGGCTGTGAGGGAGCGGCGTCCCTCAGGACGTTTGTCACGACGCGGGGCCTCGTGAGGCGCGGGGACGGCTCCGCGCGTGGCCCGTGAGCCTTCGGAAACCCCACCCACAGCCGCCCTCTGCGGGCCGGCAGCGTGTGGGGACGTCAAGGGGCGGAAGGCAGCGAAGGGACCTTCCGAAGGGAGGGAGTGCGAGGAGGGTAACCTTGGGCTGTCAGCAGGCGCGTTTCCAGCTCCTGTTTTGTTAAGAGTGCTTAGTAACTCTGACATTTCAATGTTTGTCCAAAGGTTTTCTCGTGGAAGATCTGGTGGCATACGAGCCCTCGGGTAGGTAAGTGGTTGGGTGCGGCCGACGTGTGCGATGAAACACGCTGCAGGATGTGCTGGGGAGTTGGCGTGCTGGAATTAGGAACCTGTCACTGCTTATGAAATAGAAAGTAAAAGGAAATCTCAGGGAGAAGGAAAGGTGTGAGTAGGTCTGTCGGGTATAGGAGAACCTCATGGTAAATAGACCCTTGCTTTCATTTTGCCAACTGTATTCCGGGCTGCATCAAAAAGATCATGGCCAGCAGGGTGAGGGAGGTGATCCTGCACCTCTGCTCTGTGCTGTGAGACCTTCACCTGGAGTGCTGTGGCCAGATGGGGAGTCCTCAGTACAAGAGAAACATGGACCTGTTGGAGTATGTCCAAAGAAGGGCCACAAAATTGATCCGAGGGATGGAATGCCTCCTTGTGAGAGAGAAGATTGAGAGAGTTGGGGCTGTTCCGCCCAGAGAAGAAAAGTTTCTGGGGAGACTCAAGAGCAGCCTTTCAGTGTCTAAAGGGAGGATATAAGCAAGAAGGGAACAGACTCTTTAGCAGGATCTGTTCTGAAAGGGTAAGTGGAGATCGTTTCAAACTGAAAGAGGAAAGGTTTAGACTAGATATAAGAATAAAGCTGTTTTTGATAAGGGTACTTGATGCACTGGCATTGGTTGCCCAGAGAGGCAGTGGATGCCCCATCCCTGGATACATGCAAAGTCAGGCTGGAGAGGCTCTGAGCACCTTGATTGAGCTGTGGGTTCTTTGCAGGGGGGTTGGACCAGATGGCTTTTAAGGGTCCCTTCTAACGAAAGCAATTCTATGATTCAGACTGTTGGGTAATGAAGTATTATAAAGCTAAAGATTAAAGTTGGTGAACAGATTGACTGCTGGACCCTATCTAACTTCTGTTCCTTGTGGTAAAACCTTCATGGCTGGGGGACATCCTTGCATCTTCTCCTTTTTAATTGGATTGACAGAGATTGGGAGCATCCATTGCCTGTTGCACAATGTCTGTGACTTGGAATCAGTGCAGTGACTTATTTGAGCCTCTTTTTATCGTCAGCATCTACCTGAGAGGACAGTCATCCTCAAAAGATGGTGCTGATAAACCTTGGAGGTGTTTTATCTTCTATGTCCCAAATACTAAAGTTAATGAAAGCTGAAAAGAAGCTCTGCCCCGGGGAAGCTGAAAACAAATGCTTCAAAACAGCAATCCTTGGAATGGCAGCATGTGAATTTGCCATGGAAGAAGTAGCTCAGGACACAGACCTCAGTGGGTAAAGTGATGTGCACTATCTTTTGTGATAGGAAGGGGGTGATTCTTCTGGATTTCTTCGAACCCAGACAAACCATCAACTCTGACTGTTATGTTGTGATGCTGACTAAACTACAGGCTTGAACTTCCAGAATTGAGCCCAGAGAAGAAGGCAACCTTTTCCTTGCAATGCAGTAACATCAGGACCTGTACCACTTTGAAGGCCATAAAACACATTGCCAGTCTTGACTGGACTGTTCTACCACATCCACCCTATAGTCCACTTCTGGCACCTTCTGACTTCCATCTGTTTGAGCTGATGAACAATGGACTCTGAGGGCAACATTTTCATTTCATTTTCATTGCAGCGATGCTGTCGTAGCAGTTGTGAAGCAGTGGATCATCTCCACTGGTACAGATTTTTATGAGCATGGCACGTAGGCTCTGGTTTATCACTGGTAAAAATGCATAGCTAATGACGGTGCTTACGTTGAAAAACTGTTTTGTAGCTGAGAATTTCCTCTGTCGAATGGAGTTACTGTGTTCTTTGCATCTGTTGTAGTTTCCATGGAAATAAATAGGAGGCCTTACTTTCAGAATGAGCTGTGTACAACACACATGATTTTTCAGCAGCTCTGTGGTTCTGGAACTCTGCTGAGTTAGGAGCTACTGGGGATATTGCTGAAAAGGAAGAACAGTTGTGTTTGTTCTGTCTGGGTTTGGAGAACAGGAAAAAAGCAGCACGGCATGGATTACTAAGGGATGGGCATGGAGGAGAGGGAATATTACATCTTAATTATAGAAGTGTTGTGCACAAAGGCTAACATCTTAAAGTGGTCTTTTCCAGTAGCTTTAGCTATTGGTCATTTGGGAAGTGTAACAACTTCATCAAAACCCAAGTCACTTCAGTACTGGAAGAATCAGCACCGTCTGGCTGGCTTTGAAATGTTAATCTAGCTTGGTGGTTGTAAGCGAGCTATGGGGAAAACAGTAGTGACACTGAATACTCAATTAGGTATCTCAGGAAATAACACCAGCACGTTAGTGATTATAAAGATGATTGCTAATACAGATTATGTATTATAGTTTATCTTTTTGATGGTGACCATTTGTTTTAATTGACAGCTCTTAGCACTGGGAAAGCAGAAAAATGGCATCGGAAGACATCGCTAAGCTTGCAGAGTCGCTTGCCAAAACCAAAGTGGGTGGCGGACAGTTGAGCTTCAAAGGCCAGAGCCTTAAACTCAACACAGCTGAAGATGGTAAGAGAAAAGACACATTTAGACCAACATTTCTGCTACATGAAAAAACAGTATGTTCTTCAGAGATATTATTTGATCTACTGTCTACCATCTTTACTGACTCTAACGGTGGTGCTTTTTCTGTGCCATATTAATAGTGCAAAGCCACTGAAATTTGAGGAAAGAGTTTGGGTATGTCAGTGGCAGGAGAGAGACTGCAGCCTGCACCTTTGCTTTGAATAGGAGTATTCCAGAGTACAATTGTTCCACTCTGTCACATTTGCTAAACAGGCATCTATTTCTGCCAGTAAGTGGGAACTCATTCCTGTTGATGTGGCACCCATTGCCATCATATTTTAGGCCTTTGTCTTTATTGATGCCTGCATTGCTAAACTATGTGCTGAATGGCAGAGGAATCAAACTTATGCAGCCAACCTCACATTTGACAAAGTAATAATAGAAATAAATCATGAAAGGGGAGAGAGGGTGGTGGATGGAGGGCATTCTGTCTAGTGACCTGACACTGTAGCTGTGTTCTCCATTGCTGTTTCAGGATTGTTTCAGATAGTGTTACTCAGATGTTCTTGCTAAGTGTAGCGTTTAGCAAATACTTCTGCCTCACTGTGTTACTGTTATTGTGATATCTAAGATGGTAATCGCAAGGCCAACTGAATACTGTGTGTTTTTTCCAGCTGAAGAAGTGATCAAACAAATTGAGGAATTTGATGGCCTGGAAGCATTGCGTCTGGAAGGCAACACAGTGGGTGTGGAGGCAGCGAAGGTTATTGCTAAAGCCTTGGAGAAGAAGTCAGAGCTCAAGGTGAGACCTTCAAGTGGGTGGTGGGGGCAGGAAAAGTTTTGTAGAAACACTGAAGGCCAATCTGCACTCTTCTTTCTGGAGACTGCCTTGAGTTAGCCCCAAAGCTTACTTTGTTCTTCCAGTGATAAGAATAACCATATGACAATATAGCAGAACTTGGAGACTTTGGGATAGCGGGAGGAGCACTTCCTGTGTTCCTAACTGTTCCTATTCAAAAAGCTTCCAATCTTAAAGCTGGGAAGCTGTGCAAGAAAGAGCCTCTCTGTGGAGGCAACAACTGTAGACAAAGACCTGTGGCCACAAAACAAGTTCTAATGGCAAAGCTGGAGAATGGTCAAGTCTTCTGTGAGTGATGTTTCATACAGTACCTGAATAATGAAGGAATTGATGGAGGATACGCGCCAGAAGGTTTTTCTGTGTCCAAGCTGTGTTTCCCTACTATTCTTTCATCCTAATGTTAGAAGGATGCTGTGCTGCTAGAGGCACTGCTCTTTGCAGGAGAGGAGTATGAAACACTGATTCACCCACTTGTGGCTTTTCGAGTCAGTCAGATTGTTGAGCTCCATCCCTTAGTAAAATGCACTTATGTTCCAGTCTTTCAATTTCCTGCTGTTTTTTCCATTGGTAACTTTTTCAGCAGAAAAGAAGCCCAGCTCAAATGCAAGCAACAATTCTTGTATACTGTTATTTGCAATATGCATTATGGTGGCTTAATGTCCTTCCAAGAAAGCAGCTGTGGTATTAGTTGTCACTGTTCCTTAGCACAATCAAATGGCAAGGCCACAGCAGGCAACGTTAAGCTGTCCATACTAATGTAATGCATCTTGTATGTGTAAATTTCTGTACCATTGTGTCCTAAATATTTTTTTCATGGCTCCCATCTGCATGTTTCTTATTTTAGAGGTGTCATTGGAGTGACATGTTTACTGGGAGGCTAAGATCTGAGATCCCTCCTGCTTTGGTAAGTGAAAACTAGATCTGAGACTTCCGCCTCATATAACTTATCTTCTCACCTGCCATGCTTTTTGTGGGAGTGTATTTCTGGGACTTCGTTAGTGAGTTTTTCTCTGTATGTTAACACTAAGTGTCTCAGAATAAGTAATGTGTTTTTTAGCTCCTTCTGTATGAGCTGGAGAAGTATTTGGCCTAAAGAGATGAGACAGTTCTTCGTAACTTCCTTGCAGTTATCCTTAGCTTGCTTTGTGTGACTCCTGCTCTGGCTTTAGCTGTGGAGTTTTATTTCTCCAGGCAACTTTGCAGAATATCTTCAGAACAGAATTTTTTTTGCAGCATCACTGTCTCACCTCACCACTGCAGCACTGCTGTCAGTAACAGGCAGTCCTCTCTTTCCCCTCACCCCTGTCACCCGTTTCCCTGCAGATCTCTTTGGGGGATGCACTCATCACTGCTGGAGCCCAGCTGGTGGAGCTGGATCTGAGTGACAATGCCTTTGGGCCAGATGGTGTGCGTGGCTTTGAGGCGTTGCTGAAGAGCCCTGCCTGTTACACCCTGCAGGAACTCAAGCTCAATAACTGTGGCATGGGCATTGGTGGTGGCAAGGTAAAAGTGGTCTCTTTACTGGGGATGAGGTCAGAGCCAGGACTTGGTTTCAGACTTCCCTACGTAGAATCACAGGATGATTGGATTTGGAAGGGATCTTTGGTGATCATCTAGCCCAGCTCTCCTGCTCAAAGCAACCAGGCCAGCTTGCTCAGGGCTATATCTAGTCAGGTTTTGAGTATCTCAGAAGATGAAGACTTCACAGGCTCTCTGGATAATCTACCCCAGTGTTTGACAACCTTTGCAGTAAAAAAGTGTTTGGTTTGGTTGGTTTTTTTTTTGTTTGTTTGTTTGTTGTATCTGTGTTTTTTCAAATGGAATTTTCTCTGCATCAGTCTGTAACATTTGTTTGACACTGCCTTCTTTACGCCGCTTTCTTCCACGGCAACCCAGTAGGCTTTCTTGGCTGCAAGTGTATGGTGCACTTCATCAGAATTCCCAATTGTTGTTTTTTTGTGTTGGTTTTTTTTTCACTACTAAGCTGTTTTGCTATTGTTTGGCAACCAGTATATATTTCTACACTGGGCTGTTTCTCCCCAGGAGCTAGAACTAGTGTTGTCCTTTGATCTTCATGAGAATCCTCCTGTCCCACTTCTCCAGTCTGTCATGATCCCTTCCCTCTGTGTTCATACTGACAAATTCCTGAAATATAATAATTTCCATGGTAGGAAAACAGGTCTGTCTTAAACTTTAGATTCCATGTCAAGAGAACTAAAATCCTTGGAGATGTGAGAAAACCAAGCCTAGCACTGAAGGGTGTCTATTTGGTGAAGCAGAAAAGCAGGACTGACTGTCATTATTACCCATTCATTTACATATTTATTAACCAAATGTTAGTGGGATCGATGTATTTTACTGCAAAATCATCTCTTCTGTCCTAGGGACTTTATGTGCAAGTGTTGCAGTAGCAGTTTTCTTGTGTAACTTATTGTAGAAGCAAGTGTATTTTGTCAGTGTCTGAAGTATTATTGCTTGAGAATTGGATACACAAAACGTTTGGCGTTCACAATGAAATGGTGAGGCTGTATAAACTACTTCTGCTTCCTTTAGATATTGGCTGCTGCCCTGAAAGAATGTCACAGGAAATCAAGTGCCCAGGGCAAGCCTCTTGCTTTGAAGATATTTGTGGCTGGCAGAAATCGTCTGGAGAATGATGGTGCCACTGCGCTGGCTGAAGCCTTTGGAGTAAGTATCAAACCAGCTCTTGTCAGCAAGTGGGAGCAAGGTATATTTAAGTGTTGATGGTAGAGGTAGCACATAGCACTCGCAGGGCTTGCCATGGCTTGGAAACAATGGCTGGCTATCAAGTCACTTGAAGTAGCAATGCTGCTGAGACTGGAATCTTCAACGGGTGTGATTAGAATGGATGGCTGAATGTTTCTGTGACTGAGTTTCCAAGCATGTAACTAGTTGCTGTGTCAAGTAGGAGAAATAGGTATGTCCTTAGTAAATTCTTGGTCCTATTCCTTCTCCTTCCTTTGTACTAATGGACGTTGTCTGGTGCTGGGATAGGTGGAGCAAGTGATTAGGTACTAGTGATTTCCTTGCTTAGTTGTTCAGTCAATTGGCAGGAGCAACCTGCTGTTTTTGCTGGCATCAGCCTGTGACATCTCAACTTTTCTAGCTGTCTCTGATCAACTTCCATTTTCACCAGAGGAAGAGAGGTCTCTGTGGTTGGTGCCACCTACATCTCTTTGCTTTCCTCCACTGCTGCTAAAAATGTCTTCTGAGTGATAATGCATATTGTAAAATGTATTAATGATGATTTTGCAGTTTATAGGTTGCTCTTTTTTTTTATGGAGGTCTTTCTGGATTGACTAACTGGTAATCATAGCAAAAACAAGACTTAGGTACTTGAGGGGCATGTAACAAAGCGATTCAAGAGGAACTGAGACTGAATGACTATAAGAATTGGATGAATTACTGTGTTTTGTGACATGCACGTGGGACCTTGCATTGTTGGTGGGCTGTCTTTTGGTGGGCCGTTGTGGCGTTAGCTGGGTGTTGGTGAGTGGGTAGCATTGCAACTAATGTATTTTTCTTCTCTTCTGACATAGTAAATAGCTTTTATCTCAACCCATGAGTTAATATAATAAAATATAGTAGCTAACTAGTGATTTTTTTTTTTCTTTGTTTGAGGGTTGAACCTCAAACTGAGAACTCTTGTTTTGAGGTATCTAGAATAGACGTACTAGCAGGGAGCTACCCATAACTTATTAGATGCTTGCCACAAGCCATATATTTCACTTAGATTTGTGATAGAATTGCTGCTAAGTAATTCTGTGTAGAAGAGCTAACGGACTTCTTAATTGCAAGTAGATTTTGAGCAAAAAAAAAAAGTGGAGTCCTATATTCTTCAGTTGAAATGCGTCTTCTAACAGCCTTTTTTTGTATCTGCATCCTTTCGCAGATCATTGGGACTCTAGAAGAGGTCCATATGCCACAGAATGGAATCAACCATCCTGGCATCACAGCACTGGCCCAGGCCTTTGCTATCAATTCATTGCTTAAGGTTATAAATTTGAATGACAACACCTTCACAGAGAAAGGAGCTGTGGCCATGGCAGAGGTGAGTTGTTCCAAGCGGTTGATTTGTCTTCTACCTCCCCGTCTCTTCAAATGTAGTCAGTCAGCATCAGCCTGTGGCTTGGTGCAGCCACGTACCACAATGAGGTGGGAAGGATGGCCTTCCAGAAGTGATATCGCATTTGGTTTGTATGTCTGTACCGTCAACTTTGTGTTGTCTTGCAGACTCTGAAAGCACTTCGGCAGGTTGAAGTGATCAACTTTGGAGACTGCCTGGTGCGTTCCAAGGGTGCTCTTGCCATTGCTGATGCTCTTAAAGAAGGACTTCATAAATTAAAGGTACTGCCTTCTGCTGTTCAGCTTTGAGTCTCTTTTGAAAATGACTTATTTTCTGTTACCTGGCTTCGTGTCCATTCTCCTACTGCTACTGATTACTTTAAGGTGGCTTTCTCCTCAGTGCAGCTCTGTGCCTGTAACTGAAAGCGATGAAGTTGTAGATTAGTGGCATCACTACATCCATGTGAGACTGTTCTGCGTGAAGGTATACCAGTAATCTGATTAGGTCCCACTTATGTTTTTTAAGCTGCTGGTTCAGCTTAGCAGTTGCTCTTCAGAAAGTCTAATAATGGAAGTATCTGCTTTTAGAACCCCTGAGAGTCATGAGAGCAGACTGAGATATCTCTCTTCCTGAGTATCTTGTGATCTCTACATCATTTCAGTGTTGATACAGTTGTTGCCTTTTCTTGTTTTGGGGGATGTATCAAAGGTTCAAACAGTTGGTTTTTTTGTTTCACTTTCTGTATCAGTATTTAAATTTCACTGGCATTGGACTTAGGCCTTTGTGAAATGTTGTCAAGTCAGTAATATAAGTGAACTAGAATCTCTAGATACACCTCTCTAGGGTCACAGCTGCACTGGGACAGATGCTGAACACAATTCCCATTTTTGGAAGCTTACAGATAAAACCAAAAATTCAGCACTGCTGCAGTGCTAATGTTTATCTATGTGTATGAATCTGGTACAGTAAGAATTAGGTGCCTTCTGTTGTGAGATCCTTTCCTCAAGCTTCTGCTGGTTCCACCAGAACTTATTTCTGAGTTTCCCAGGTAGGCTTAAGTAAGGATTGTAATGAGACTTTCTGTGTGAACAGTTGGAAATTAAACCCTGCTCTTCCAGAGCAGAAATGGTTAAGGGAGAGTAGTATGAAGCAATAGTAACTGATTCACTGTGTTCAAGAACAACTTCCCTTCTGTTGTTAATATTAAATCTCAGGAAAGGATTGCAGAACACTATGTGAAATGGTGGGGGATGGTGTAGTTTGTCTTTAGGAGGCTGTAACTTGAAATGTAAATACTAAAAGGCAGATGTGCATTTCGTTCAGTATAGCAGCTACCGTTCCTCAGTAAAACTTGAAGTGTGAATTGTGTGACTGGTAGCTGGGCTCTGCTGGTGTAGAATGTGCTTAGAAACAAAAATCTTCAATTTCTGGGAGAAGGTAACACAACAGGGCAGTCTGTGCTACCTGAGCAGACTGGACATGCTGCTGAATCCCAGGGCAGCATGAGAGGACGAGAGGAAATTAAAGAGCTAACGTGCCTTTCTTCCTTTAAGTGGTTCCACAATTCCTCCCCTTGGTTCTCTAAGAAGTGCTTCTTGAGTAGGTGAAAGTCTTCAACCAGCTGATTGCTAAGGGCTGGAACAGGTGCTACCTTTTAAGGGAGCAGTCATAATAGTGTGTGGTCTTTGTGGCTGTTTAACTTATGTGGTTGCTTTTATTATGGTATGTTTCAAAATACTTTGTTTAAATGAGGCAGAGAAATGTCACTTCCAGTTAAAAATCTGTTTTTCCTAAGGGCCTTTTCAAATTAGAATCTTTCCAGAAAGCTTGTGAGCGTGTGAAGCTTATGGGGATGATAGATATTACAGGAACAATGTAAACAAGTGGTTTTTTGCTTCTTAGGAACTGAATTTGTCCTTCTGTGAGATCAAACGAGACGCTGCTCTGTCTGTAGCTGAAGCTATTGAAGATAAGGTAGAGCTGGAGAAGCTGGATCTCAATGGTAAGTAAGCTTGCTAGGTAAAAGCACATGTAGTCTGACCCCAACTAGAAACCACTAGAAAGAGTGGTTACAGGATCACCCGTGCTGGTGTTACAATATCTGGCATTTAAAAAATGGTTATGTGGGAGTAGCTGAGGTTGGGTGATGCTGGGACAGAAGTGGTTAGATTCTGAAGGCAGTCTTAAGATGTGAACTCAGGCAGTTGTTAGAGTTCAGTAGTTTCAGTACATCCCATAAGGTAGAAGGATGGGAGTGACACCTGTAGCTGTTCTCAACACAACTTTTAAAAACTGTTCAGGGTGATCTTAGATACTTCAAAATTGTAAGTAAAAACTTCTGTGCGGATCTCTACAGAGGAGTTGGAGACTTTGACCACTGTGGGCTTTTGCCTTTCGTACCCAAGTCTGCATTTCAGAACTGCTGGGACTAACAGCTGTTTACAGAGCTAGCAGGAAGTTTCTCCAAGACTTTCTGAACAGCAGAGGCTTTTGTCTGTCTCCAAGTGTTGTGTAATGCTTCTGGAATCTGTTAAACAGCTGTTTGATTCCAATGACTGAAGTCTGCATTGCCGCCTCCAAGCCTTGATGTAGAAATTACTGATATTATTTTTTAACTTAAACAGATATAGATAAGAAGCTGTAACAATGTTCCCAAGAACAAGCTTGTGTGCATCTTTTGAATGTATTCCCTTTTTCCCTGGATGCAGGTAACTGCCTGGGTGAAGAGGGGTGTGAGCAACTGCAGGAGATCCTTGAAGGCTTCAATATGGCAACTGTGCTGGGATCGTTGAGGTAAGAGGGCACCAGAATTTAAATGAGAAGTTTTCTACCAATTTTTATTAACAGTTACTTTGTTTAAGGTAAGAACTGTAACATCAACTGTAATTGCAGTTGGATGTTGGTCTGAGTGCAGTGTGGAGTGCTGTAACATAAGCAGGATAAGCCTTGTACACTATTTTCATTGATAGAATTAATTCGGTGTCAGTTACTGACTACATTTTTTGCTTACCACTGTCAACTGGATGGCTGAAGTCTCGGGTGGCCTCCTAATGTGTTGTAGTGAAGGCATACTTCTTGCACTGAGTCTTGAGGAGAGGCTGCTTTTTTGTTCTTGGAAAAGAAAAATTGAATACCAGCATATAGGAATTGCAAGTATGTGATTAATGGAATATGTGAACTCTCTAACTTTAGTGATGATGAAGGGGAAGAGGAGGATGAGGAGGAGGAGGAGGAGGAAGAAGAAGAAGAAGAGGAAGAGGAAGAAGAAGAGGAGGAGGTGGAACAGCAACAGCTGAAGGAAAGAGGACAGGGAGAACAGGACTCAATGACTCCTAAGAAAATAATTAGTTCACAGGTAAGTTTACTTCAGGATACGTTTGTTTACTGTCTGGAGAAGAGCTGAGGAGGATACAAGATTTAGAGAGAGTTTGCAGTGCTGGCAGTAATTCACATTCCTGCATGGACTGGCTCTGTGGTAACAGGCAGGGAGATAGCATGCAGAAGGTGAAGAAAATGGGTGACTTGGCAAGCTGTTTTGTTAAAGGCTGCGTGTGCACACATGTAGTGGTACAAACTGAACAGCCAGTGTGACAGATGTGGGTGGAAAAAGTCTCCCCATCTTCAGAGTGTGGTAAGAACCTTGCATGTGCGCTGCCATGCAGTCGTGCTAGAATATTGTGTCTGTTTTACCTCTAGCTTCATTCCAACCTTGAATAGTTTTAAAGTAAAACAAATTCTGACCTGATGTGCCTTTGCAAGTCAGATCTGTGTGCCTTTGCTGTACCAATTTATTTGCTTTTAAGAGTAAACTTGAGATGGATTCTGCGTGTTTCAGGATTCAACTCCCGTGCCGTCTCCTCCTGTGGATGTTGCCACATTCCTTGCTTTCCCATCACCTGAGAAGCTGCTGCGGCTAGGGCCAAAGTGTTCTGTGCTGATAGCTCAGCAGGTAGGTGAGCCTGTGGTTTGCTGCACTTGACTCTTTCTCAGGATCACTAATCCCGAGAAGTGCTAACTTTCTCTCAGTCCTAGACTTGCTGCTTCTCCCTAGTTCCTCCCTGAGGAACCTTGTGGAAGCAGGTGGTGCATTTAATACTTGCACAGGCACCCTAGGTGTTTTACACAGAGTAACTTTGTTTCATAGTGTTGCTTATGTCTTGTAGTGGGGCCAAGGCAAAACTGATGTCAGTCAGCTGGAGGCTGTATTTCTTGTCACTGCTGTTGGCAGAGATCTAGCTTCTCTATTTGGCTACCACTTCTTTTTTTTTTCTCCTTGCCTTTCAGACAGATACATCTGATGTAGAGAAAGTAGTTACAGCTCTCTTAAGGATATCTTCAGTCTTCAAAGATGAAGCCCCAGTAAAAACAGCAGTGCATGAAACAACAGGTGACAATCTTTCTTCACTTAAGGATGAGATGCAGTGCAAAGCAAAGGAAGGCCTTTGTGAGCTGGGTATTCAATTGGTTGACTCTGGTAGCAGGAAACCCCAGATTACAAAGTACCAAGCTGTGACATGCTGTTTTGTGGAGTGGAAGTAAAGGCTTGTTCTAAATGAAAGAAGTCTTATGCTTCTAAAGTTTGATGAGGAGTGTCCCTTGTTGCTGTCTTCGTGGTCGTGTGTTGCCCTTACCTGAATCTCCTTGATGCTGTGCTATCAATAGCCAATAGTTCTGTGTCTCTCAAGATCAGGTTGTTTTTTTTGTTTTTTTTTTTGTTTTTTTTTTCCAAGGCTGCTCATTTGAAAAGTACAGGAAGTAGCCTTCCAATTTAGTTTTAAGAGAATGTAAAGAGAGATCTCTTATCTAGTGTACCTCTTTATTAGTTACAATTAGTTATTGAGGCACAATAGGTACTGTAAAACAAGGGACTGTTTCTCACTGTACAGCACAGAATGGGTAGGTTTTATTTGTGAGTGTACTAATAGCATCCCTTCATTTTCTCTTTGAGAAACTGAAATTCCAAACAACACCTGTGCACTTTGACCACTTGCTTTCATCTTTTTTCCAAATGATGCAGCAGTACAGTTTCCCCATCCGTGAGTTACCTATCAGTACTGTGCAAAATAAATGGATCCATTGGTTTTAAGGCCATTTAGAGTGATTTATTTGAAACAAGTGTGTGTTCCCTTAGTTAGCATTTTCTTAGTTTGGAATACGTAAGCATGGTGAGACTTAGCTATTGTCTGTAAAGCAGTAAATTAATACAGAGTTAACTGGAGTGGTGTGTGGGTCCAGGCAGCCAAAAGTAATCTGTTGGCATTTCACTGAGTGTGTGCCAGCCTTGACTGCTGCCCGTTGTGAGTTGTGTCCCACAAAAAATGGCGTGCAGGATGCATGCATTGCCTGAAGCATGCTGTGCATGTATTACCTTGACACCAGAGCTCTTCCTTACTACTCCTGCTTTGTAGGGAAAAGCAGTACCTAGTAATTGCTTTCCTTCCAGAAGAGTAACTGTGAGTTGATGAGGAGGTCCCTAGCGAATGACCCGCACTGCTCTGCAGCTGCTGTAGTGGGTTGTGTTCACTCCAAGAAACTACAACAGTCAGAAGTCAAGATTGTGCCTTTTTTACCTTGTAGACAAGAGAAGATAAAACACTGGTTTGCCCACAGCTAGCAGCAGTATATGGGTCCCAAGGAAGCCTAGGGAACAACTGAACAAAAGGAATGAGAATACAGTGAGAACTTGGCTTCAAAAGAAAGGTGAAATCTTGCTGGCCTTTACATCTCAAGCTTTTAGGTCTACTGCTCTACTTCAACTGATGACGTTTATATGTACATATGCACATGTGCTTCATAGTACAAATACACTGAGTAGAACATCTCGTGGTGCATAGGATAGAGATCAAGCTACACTTGAAACTTGGCCATAAGATTTTGTGCTATTATTTTTTCCACTTAAATCCCAGTATCAGGCCTTACACTTAAGGACCAGATCTTCTCTGTCTTGGTTTCAGAGATTCTACCTAATCCTGGGCACATTACCTCTCAAAATTCCTTCAACAAATGGTGGAAATGGTCGGTTGTGATCTTAAACTTTTTTTACAGAGTCCCTTTCTGTATTGTTTTCATGTGATGCATTTCCTTTTTAGATGCCTTGATGAAAAAAGCTTTCTCTTCCGCCACGTTTAATTCAGATGCGTTCATCACAAGACTCTTGATCCACATGGGGCTACTTAAGGTGAGGAAGCAGGAAAGAGTTAAGTTATGGTCTGCTTAGGCTGTTGAAAACCGGTTGGGCTTGGGGTAATTATGTTACCATGGAAACAGCTGGGTGCCTGTGCATGCCTAATGCCCGGGGACAATAGAAGTCTGCACTGCCGGCAAAAATTGCAAGATTGCATTAGGATGAAGATGGTGTCAGCAATTTGTACCTCTTCTGTTTTCTGTGCTCTGAATTCCCAGACGTCCCTTAAAGGTAGGGAGGGTCGTGCTGCTGGTCTATAGGCTCTTCCAGATGTCTAATTAAAAAACAAACAAACCCTTTGTCCAGGTGTCTGATGTGCAATATTGTTATTAACCATGGTCCTTTAGGGCATCTTATAGTAGCACGTCTCAAACAAATATCCAACTTCTCATGTTTGATCAGTAGCATTTAACTTCTCTCCACGTCACTCTAGTGTTAAATACATCTTTATATGGAATAGACTTCCTCCCAAGAGACGGTGGGAGCCTGCAAACTGCATCAGAATACCTGTAGCATTGCCTTCAGTGAGATACCTTGGGGAGAGTTTCTGTCTGCAGACTTCAATATTTTTGCCTACTAGGGCTGCAAGGATCATTTCTTCTCAAGACCTGGAAACTGAAAATGGAAGCTTGGGCCAAAATGATTCTAAGCTGCAGAATGTCTGTATTCTAGCAGCCTCCTCTTAATTAAGTTTATGAATCTCCTTCTGCTAATATCCAGCTCAGGGAACAGAAGGCTGTTAACATGCTGGTCACATCCTTTGTGTCCTTAAAAATCCATTTAGCCCGTCCCTGTGTACATTCAAATGGGACCAAAAGTGAGCATCCCCTCTTCACAGGTCTACAGAACCCAGGATGGCTTTCTGCTCTGCAGAATGCTTGTTTTGGGCACTGCCACCTACCTCTTATCCCATCCAGAAAATAACAGATGTATGAAGCACTAAGCACAGACTCGTGCTCTGGAAAAGCTGTGGCAGGAAGTCGCGTGGATAATAATGGCCTCAGTAATCAGCCAACCAGTTGTTGTCACCTGTGGGGGACTGCTGATGAATTAGGCATGTGGGGAGAGGGAACAGCTTCATAACTTTCTGTCCCACATAAGTGGAAGCACGTGGGCAACAGATATCCTTAGCACCATGAAATATGAGGTCACATACCCAGAAACGGCTGTCTTGTTTCTGTCTACAGAATGAAGAGATTAAGAGGATAGCAGTGGAAAAATAAATGAAAACGGTAGGAAAGTTGGGGCATGTAGGTCAGTGTCATGTTAGGAGCAAGAAGAAATTCTGCATTGTGGTGTAAGCAGGAGGAGGAATGGTAATAACTTTACCTTATTCATGAGTGCGAGAGCAGTGCTGGGAATGGGGCATCAGGTTCTGGAGGCATCCCAACAAAGAGCTGGAGGTGGTGTAAAACTGAGCTACAGAATAATGCAAGAGAAAGTTGTGTAATTAAGGCAACTCAGTTCTTGATAAAATCAGATAGAATTCTGCAGGAGAGCACTTTGACACAGAGCCTCTGAGGTTTGGTTGTTCTGCTTGCATGTTCATTACTTCCTTTTCCCTACTGCTGATGCAATCAGTGACTAATATTTAAATGATATGTACTAGAGTACCCTCAACGTGGTAACATTCCAGATGTTGGTGCAGGGAGGCTATAGAGTTGGCCACCTTGGTCTTGAGGAACATCATGCTTAACCTTGTGAACAGCATTTACTACCATGTATGGGAGAATCTCATTCTACAGGGAGTTCATTGCCTTGGTCATCTGCAGTGAATCGGATAAAGCAGTGACTGCCTGATGCTTGATTTCCATCTTCTTGTCCTTTTCTCAGAGCGAAGAGAAGATCAAAGCTGTCCCGAGCCTCTATGGTATTCTTATGACTTTGAACCATGTGGTCCAGCAGGATTATTTCCCTAAATCCCTGGCCCCAGTTCTCTCTGCTTTTGTCACAAAGTGAGTATTGTACTCGTCATGCCATCTTCTTTCTCCGTGAGAGTTGGTGTAATGGAAGGTTAATAGCTTGCATGTAAGCTGCTCTGTTAAGGCCCACTAAGTACCTATTCTAAAATTAAGCATTAATAATTTGGCCCTCTATCTTTCTTACTCCAATACACAAGGTTTAGGTTAGCAAGTGTTAAACTTCAGGAAGAAGCAGAGGAAAACTGGCTCTGGAGCAGAGGGGAGAAATAGTCCAGCACTGTCTCAGTACCGAAAGCCACCTGAAATCCATTTGGCCTTTGGTGGCTGCCTGGTTCATCACAGACTGTGTGCCACGTAGGGTCAGGACAGCTTAGTGGGTTTCAGGAAAAGGCTTAAGCCTTCCTGATTTTCATTGGTGTGAGGAGTATGCAGAAGCTTGAAATCTTGTGCTGGTAAAGGGCAAAGGCCTCAAGTAGCTGTGGCTGGTACAAACCATGGGTAAGAGGGATTCAGCCAAATACTGATAGCCTTCTCTTAGCTCTGCTGGGATTAGAAGCAGGCTGTTATGAGCTGAGGATTTTTGCAGGTGGTGTGTCTGAAGCTGTGAAAGCTGATGCATAGCAGTGGCCTGTCCAGCAACCAGCCATGTTAACAGCAGTTCTAGAAAGTGAAACTATATTACTTCTGGACTACTCGTTCTCCTCTGTTTTGTAGCAGTGATGCTGTGGATAGTGCTGTCTATTAAAAAAAAATAATGAAACTGCAGTGTATGTGCTGGGAGCAGCATCCATCTTACTCTGCTGCTCTCTGTCCTTATTTTCTTTTCTGGACACAAGAGGGTGCTGTGATCCCACCTGTGCATCTGCATGATCCTGTAGGAGGAAGCAGTGTCCAGGGATGTCTGCCTGTCCTCTCGTCGCTCTCCAGAAGCTGTGGTGGTTTTTTGGGGGAATTTTTTAATTTTATTTTTGCAGCTCTGTGTTGTTGGATGGGATCACATTGCTGGTCTTTTTTCAACTGCCCGCCACAGAGCAACAGGCGACTGAATTCCACAGCAAGGGGGAAACTCCATAGTAGTGTTAGGGGAGGTTTGGTGTTAAGGGTGGAAGATGAGCAAGCTTGGCTGTGATCAGCACCAGCTTTTTAGTGTCTCTGCTCCCAGAAATGGGACACTGCCTAGATGCAATCAACCTGCACCCATGCAAACAGGGTTGGGTCTTCTGAACACGATGACTGAAATGCATGGAGGTTCAAGGCCAGGTTGGATGGGGCCTGGGCAGCCTGAGCTGGTGGACGGCAGCCCTGCCCATGGCATGGGGTGGGATTGGGTGGGCTTTGAGGTCCCTTCCAACCCAACCATTCTGTGATTCAATGAATCCCTCCCTGAGACTGAAAATAAACTGCAAATTGTGTCCTGCTATGTTCCTGAAGGTGTGGGACATTAAATGGCTTTTGTGGGGACAAAAGCAGTTGACTCTTCTCCAGGATATGATCTCAGGTACTTCAGGCCAACAGCAGGTTCTCTTGGCCTTTTCTGAAGCCAACAGATGCTCTTAGGCTCCAGGGTTACGCTGCCTCTTCTTGAAAGCGTAAGAATCCTGGAGGCTGAAGTTGGTGTTGGCTTGGTGAGAAAAGATGTGAACATAAGCAGCTTTGTCTCATGCATTTCAGGTGCCCTAAAAGCAATCTGTACGGAAAATTCCATTGCAGGGAGGGAAGGGGAATTCTCTTCCCACCTACTTCCTGCTGCCAAAAATGAGGCACAGGGCTGCAGGGAGAAGCAGTCTGCTGCCCATCTTTGTACCTCTGGATATAAATTTTCTGATTCTTGGCAACTCTCTCACTGTCTGCAATAGGGGAGAGAATTTTTACAGCATGTGCTGAATGGGAACCAGAGAACAGGGAGAGAACTGATGGGAAAATGTGTAGGCTGTTGCACATGCAAGCCCTGTGTATTTGAGATGGTGTTTATTTGGGCACTTAGAGTTTACTACAATGCAATTTTGAAGCTTTACTATTGTAAATAATTATTTTCTTCCTACAGACCAAACCGTGCTCTCGACTCCTGTTCCTTTGCCCGCCACATGCTTTTACAAACCCTCCACCAGCTGTGAGAGGCAGAGATGTGCCTTCTCTCCCTGTAGGACTGTCCTCAGCAGAGAACTCAGAGCTGCACAATGAAATCAGATCCTGGAGCCCACGCAGATGTGCTGTCTTTTTTTTCCTTTTTTTTGTTTTGTTTTGTTGCCCCTGTTGGAGGTCTGTCCTTCCTTCTGCTTTCATAAACTTGGGCAAATCCTGCTGATTTATTATTATTATTATTTTTAATATTGTTCTATTCCTCATGAAGTGACTCTCTGATCTGTGGGGCTGATGCTTACGCTCTGAGCTCAGCATGAACTGAAGAGTCTCTCTCCATTTCTGTAGCATTGGCAAGGGTGTGCCAAAATGAACACGGAGCTTGGAAGCGCCCTCATCAGGATCAACCCTTGCTGTCCATTTTATTTTATCAGACTGTGCAGGAGGACAGCTATGCTGCTGCTGCTTCTCCAGCCAGGGCCGTGCTTGACGTGCCCCCTGCCAGCTGCTGCTGGCTCAGAGGAGCAGGGTCTGCTCTCCATTGATTCTTCTTTTGAGTTTATTTCTTGAAGGTGCCGTGTGGCCAATCTGTATTTTAGGGTGTTGCTCCCCCGCTACTCTGGCTTGGAGTGTCTGTGTAGTGTGGCTGACCCGGGTGGCCATTGCTTAAGGGAGCAAGCATATGTTCATTGTAATTTTTTTTGTCACTGCCTGTGTAGTTTTCCTTTTCCCTCTCCTTTCCTGGCTAAATAGACTCGGTCTGGAAATGAATACAATCCATGAAGTCCATACGAAATGTGTTCCCTTTCTCCTTCAGTCTTACCTTTGGAACAGTGGGACTGTTCACATGTTTGAAAGCTGAGCACAGGTAAGAGCACAGAATTAGGGCAATGGTGGTGTTCCTCAGGTAGGGCAGCCCTTGTTCTTGCGCGGAAGGAGTAGCAGGAGGTACCCCATGCTCTACACTGAAGTTGGTTCACCTGCCTGCATGTTGGTGTCAACTACCTGCACTCGTCTTTTGGGCTTCTGAGAATCTACACCTCTCTTTAGAGTAATAAAAAGTAATAATTCCCTTCACTTGGCACTGATTGTTTTTTCCTCAGTTATGATTGAAGGAAAGTGTTCATCCTTGCCCCAGCCCTTACATTGGCTATACTGTACAGAGTGCCAGAAGCAGGAAAGGAAATGGACTTAGCTGAGCAGCTACCATCCATTAAGTGGGGGGGGAGGGGGGGCATGCTTGTCCTGTATGATGTAGGAGCTGCTGTTTGCTCACATGGTTTGCAGGCAATGCTTACAGAGAAGAAAGGGTTTGAAGCAGTGGATGGAAATGTGTGGTATGCTCCAGCTCTACATGCATACAGTCTCTGCTTGAATTCTGCCACCCTGTGGGCCTGTTCACGGTGCCCACAACCGAGGGAAAGGGAACACCTTCAGGTGAGCAGTGTCTGCATTACTCTGGAAAAGGTTGCCTGAAGGCTAAAAGCAAGGGATATTTTCTAAACCAAAACTCTGTATCTGAGTCAGTAAATGGAATGGAATGGAATGGAATGGAATGGAATGGAATGGAATGGAATGGAGGCTGTGATGGCAGCATTCAGCTCTGTGCTAAGGCTGGGCCCTGCCTCCTTTACTGGGTCCCCTTTTATTCCTTTGGCAACAGCTGCAAACAGAAGTGTTACTGCAAGCTGGAGGGAGCAAACAAGAAGTGAAACAGTTTGTAATTTCTAAGGTCCCAACCCTCCTGTGGCTCTGGCGTGGGATCCTTGAGCACTTGTTGCTCTGGAATGTGAAAATCAGGCTGAGGTGGGGGTGACAGCAGTGCTGCTTCAGCCTGCCTTGTGCACCAAACCCTGAAGGCAGAGTATTTATTTCGAATTTTCTAAGCGCAGCAAAGCAGCGGTGGCAGAGGGGAGGAAAAGCTCCGGCTGCGTGCAGCGATCCGGTGGTAAGGAGAGAGAGCAGGACTGGGCTCCTTGCAGGCAGAGCTAAAACATTTTGCCCCGCAGCCGGCTTCCCATCGTGCCGCCTGCAGCCGCCCAGAATCCCAGTCCCGTAAGGTGACGAGGAGGTGACGGCTGAGCCGCTGCCTCCTCCCCCCTTCCTGGCTGCTTCCAGCCAGCGCTGCTGGGAAAGGGACACAAGGCGTCCCGTTCAGCGCTTGCTTTTGCAAATACCGGTGCAGGCACGGAGAGGCGGGCGGTGTTGCAGGAGCCGAGCAGAAGCAGGACGCAACAGCTTCTCCCCCTCGTTCCTTGCCGTCTCTCGAGGACCTGGGACTCGCTGCGTGAAGCCCAAAAGGTGTGTGGAAAAGAGGGGGAGGGCAGCGCTGGTGTCCTGGGGCCGCTGCGTCGCCGGGGGGATGTGACCGCAGTGCGAGGGCGAGGAGAGCAGAGGCGGGATCGGAGTGAGAGGGTGGGCAGCACGGTGGCTCCCACGTGTTTGAGCCCCGTCGGCCCCATTGCACAACGGTGGTAGGAGCCCTCTGTGCTCCCCTTAGCCCTGGCCCCTCTCCGGTACCCTCCGATGAAGCTCGCTGTCGCTTTGCCAAAACCAACCCGCTCCTTGCTGCCGCTGAACAGAGCTGAGCATTATTCTGCACCGCGGCTGGAGGAGCTCTGGGCGCAGCGTGGCGGCTCAGAACGGCTGCTCAAAGCCAGTGGCCTCGTGTGTGCCGCAACAAGCGTCTGCCCCATCGGTTCCCACCGAAGCCCCGTACTGTTCGGGGTGAGAAAAGCATTGCTGCCTTCCTTCACCTCTTCCTCTCCTCGGCCGCAGGTGCCCCAGCATGGAGCTGCTCCTGCTGGCACTGGTGCTGGCTCTGGCACCGGGAGGGATGACTGCAGCCCGCTGCCCTGCGGTCTGCGTCTGTGACAACCTCCGTGCACACGTCCTGTGCCTCAGCCAGAACCTGACAGCCATACCTGACACCATCCCCGAGGTGGGTGAGGAACCGTTGGGCATGGGAGGGGGTGAGCCACAGCCCCGCGGTGACACGGAGCTTTGCATGACCCGCAGCTCACCAAGCAGCTGGACCTGCGGGGCAACAGCTTCAAGGTGGTAACAGCCGGAGCCTTCCTCAGCACACCCTACCTCACACGCTTGGACCTGAGCAACAGCCAGCTGGAAAGGGTGGAGGAAGGGGCCTTCCGGGGGCTGGGGCGGCTGCTTCACCTCAACCTGGCCTCCAACAGCATCGCTGTCCTCTACCAGGAAGCCCTGGACGGGCTGTCTTCCCTGCAGCAGCTCATCCTGCGGCAGAACAACCTGGAGGAAATGCAGCCGGGCGCTTTTAGCCGGCTGGAGTCCCTCACCCTCCTCGACCTGAGGGAGAACGCCTTGGTCTACCTCCCAGACATGGTCTTTCAGGGCCTGCAGAGCCTCAGGTGGCTCCGGCTGTCTCATAACGCCCTCCACGTGCTGGGCAGTGAAGCTTTCACGGCCCTGCCTGCCCTGCGCAGGCTCAGCCTGGACCACAACGAGCTGCAGGCGCTGCCCAGCGAGGCTCTGGCACGGCTGAGCGAGGCCACACGGCTGGAGCTGGGCCACAACCCCATCACCTACCTGGCCGAGGAGGCCGTGGCCATGGCCTCCCTCCAGCACCTCTCCCTGGAGCATGCGGCCCTGCAGGACGTGGCACCTGATGCCTTTTCCCGCAGCCCCCTGCTGAGGACGCTGGATCTGGCACACAACCAGCTGCAGGGGCTCCCTGCCTTGGTGGGGGCCGGGGGGCTGGTGAGGATCAGCCTGGCTGGGAACCCCCTGCTCTGCTCCTGCCTCCTGCTCCCCTTCCACCGCTGGATGGGGCGGGCAAGAGTGCAGACAGAGGGGACCTGCGTGGCCCCCGCAGCCCTCCAGGGCCGACCCCTCGACTCCCTGAGGCCCTCTGAGATGAAGTGCGGGGAGCCCCAGGTGCCCGTCCCCAATCCCACCGTGCCCTCGGTGCAGACTGGGGGAACCACGAGTGGGCCATGCCCCACGGGCTGCACCTGCTCCCCTGAATTCCACCACGCAAACTGTGAGAACAGAGGCCTGAGGAAGATCCCTCGTGGCTTCCCCACAGACACCCAGCTCCTCGACCTACGTCGAAATGCCCTGGGCATGGTGCCTGCAGGTGCCTTCCTGGGCCTGAAGGAACTGGTGTCCCTCCACCTGCAGAGCTGTGGTATCGCAGAGCTGCACTCTGGGGCACTGCGGGGTCTGCCCAGCTTGGTCTACCTCTACCTCTCTGACAACCAGCTCAGCACCTTGGTGCCCGCTGCCTTTGAGGGGGTCCCACAGCTCGCCTACCTGCACCTGGATCACAACGCCTTCACGCAGGTGCCCTCCGGTGCCTTCCAGCTCCTGCCCAACCTCTTCTCCCTCCACCTTCAGCACAATGCCATTGGGGAGCTGGCCAAAGGTGACCTGGCAGGGTTGGCGGGGCTGCGCTGGCTGAGCCTGGCTGGAAATGTCATCAGGAGCATTGGCCCTGCTGCCCTGGCTGCCACAAAGATGCTGGAGAAGCTGCACCTGGAGAGGAACTCCCTGGAGGAGGTGCCCACATCATCTTTGCAGCACCTGCCTGCCCTGACCAAACTGAAGCTGTCCCGAAACCCCATCAAGCACATCAGGGATGGTGCCTTCCTGCCGGTGGCTGGGAGCCTGCAGCACCTCTATCTGGACAACATGGGGCTGGAGCAGGTGCGTGTGAGCAGGGGACAGGCCCCTGTAGGAACCTCTACCCCCTGAAAGTCCCCAGGCTCCCAAAGCTTCGGGAGACACTCCACAGCTCAGCCAGGGGGAGAAGCTTCCTTGTGCTGGGATGGAGCTGTGTCTTGCTTTTGCCCCATCCCCAGCTGACCTGGGACAGCCTCACTCCCTGTTCATTAAAGACAGCAAATGCTGGCAGGGTACAGATCATTCCTGTAACCCTTCTTCAAACCGCTCCTTCCTCAATCCCAATTTCTCCTCTTTTGATGATCCCTCCTCTAGGACTCCTCTGCTATAACCCTGAATTTCTCCTTGTCAAGAATTTGGTGCTAACACCAATCTCATACAGACCATGCACCTCTTAGAGATCACTCTATGACCTGTACATCATCTTCTTCCCAGAAACATTGAGTAGGATCTAGTGAGTCCTAGAACACAACCCGTAGTCACTGCTGATTAGAGCTACTCTTTCATGGGTACTCCAAATTCAGGACAGGCTCTCAGCTCTCCAGAGTGGCTGTGAAGCAGAGTTTGCTCCTCTTAACAGTGATCCCCTTGCCACACTCTTGTTCCATTGCAGATTTCCCCCCGTGCCTTTGCTGGACTTGGACCCAAGATCAAAAGCCTGCATCTGGAGAGCAACAAAATGAGCAGCATTCCTAACATGAGCAACTTCACAGGGCTGGAAATCCTCAATCTGAGGGATGTGCCTTTCCACTGCGACTGCAGGCTGCTACCATTGTACAGGTGAGTGCTGTGAGGGGACACAGTCACAGGGACACTCAGAGCTGCCCAACTGGTGACATGGGTTCAGCAGGGAGGTCTAGTCCTGCAAGACACATCTGTGTGGCAAAAAGAGTGTAAGAAGAGCAGTGATGCACAGGGATGAGCAGATATTCCAAGCCCAGGCAGGTGAGGCCCTGAGCAAGAGGTTTTGCAACAATTCATACCCGCTCACATGCAGTTTTGCCTCATCTCTTGCTCCTCCTCTGATCTTCTGCCTCATTTCCAGGTGGATTGAGAAACTCAACTTGCGCACTGGGGCCACCTGCGCATCCCCTGCAGAAGCCCAGGGGCAGAAGGTGAAGTTTTCCACCACTTTTCAAAACTGTCCTGGCTGGAGAGCCAGAGGAGCCAGTGCTGACAAGTCTAAGGCTGCAAGGAAACCCAGCAAGAAGAAGAGGTCAGAAAAACCACCATCCAGAGGCTTCAGGAAAAACAAAGCTTAGGAAACGTATGTGAAGTGCTACAGGGCTGTACCTACAACACGCTCAGAGCAGTTTCCTGGGCTTGTCCTCGCTGCAGCAACACAGAGCTTGTACAGGGTATGAAGGAGAGAGCTTGGCCACAGTGGAGTGATGCTGACCTGTCCTGGCCAAGTATGACAGATGCAAGGTTTGTCTTCGCAGACCACAGAGGCACATTATCCTGTAAAGGACTTGTGTGAAAGCTTCCGCAGTGTTTGCTATGTGCTTTATCTGACGACTCCAACAGCAAAGCCATATGCTTGCTTTACCTTCACAAGCCTTCAAGAGCCGAGCAGAAAAGCTGGAATTCACAAATGTTCTTTCTCCTTGACTGCTTTCAAAGGTTCAGAAATGCTGAAACAGACTGGAAGCAGCTCTAGCATCCCATGCTGGCTCAAATCTTAGAGGAGAAAACTTAAAAATTTTCATCAGAGAAAACACTGCCTGAATTCCCAGCTGCTCCTTAGAATTAAAACAAAAGCAGATTGAAATCGTTCTCCTTTTTGCAAAGTTTGATCAGTGGTTCACCCACCCCATTCATAAGCAGCGTACCTGGCCTATTCCCTACAACAGGCCATAGGTTGGCACCACTGGGAGGGGAAGAGAGGAAACACTCTGCTTTTGCCCCAGAACAGGATCCCCCTGCAGGGGGTTTGCAGGGACACCCCCTTCCCTGCCTTCATTAACACCCCACAACAGGCTGCTTCCATAACACTTTTCTATTGGCCCTTTTTGGGCCAGAAGTTTCCTCAGAGACCCAGGGAGACATACACAGGGCAGACTGCAATGGCCCAGTTCGCCCATCAGCTTTGACACCGATCCTCCACAATTTTTTCACTCGTGTTTCACTCTCTCCAGTGTTCACTAACTAGTTTTGCCATCATTGCCATTTTATTATGATTATTTTGTCACGAAGCACTTTCCAAAGCATGAACTATTTTGGCACTGCAGGCTCTTGCCTGGAAACTGGAGAGGGGCGCGTAGCCAAGGCAGCCATTTCATGACTAAGACACTGTCCTGCACAGCTGTCATTTCCCTGCAGCATTTGACAAGGCAGATGTGCTGCAGCCACACAGGGCCTGTAGCACCACAGACAAGACAGGCACTTCCCCACCTGTACAAAGCTCACAGGAGTACTTAGAAAGCTTCTTTGTCTCTGTTGCTACTTGACCTTTCCGATTTGTTTTTCTGCTCCCCAGTTTGGGTTGCCCTAGTATTCTGGAAAACATGACACAAGCCTTTGGCTTCTTCCTTCATTTAATCCACAGGGCCTTAGGATACATATTGTTGATCAAATTTACAGTAGAACTACTAAAAAATAAAAATCTCAAACTGTGCACCATGCACACTGCAGTTCTGGGTTCCAAAGCAAGAAGTGATGGTACACAAAGAGCTCTCTTGCTCTCTTAAGAGGCATCATCATTGCTTTTCCATTTTCAGCTTTTCCACTCTTCCTCTCCTTCCCAAAGGCAGCGGCTGCACCCAGAGAGCACAGCACAGCAGCTGATTCCCTGACACGTGTGACCTGCACGCATCATCTCAAATCACATCTTTGACATCTCCAGCTGCAGCTGAGAGCCCAGATTGCCCTCTTGTGTTTTGGCAGCCTCTGTCCCCATCAGCGGTTTCTGCTCGAAAAGATGCCTTTGGGGCAGGGAGCACACTGCCAGCAGCTACCCATTCATGCTCCTCTGCAAGCCTGAGGCTTTTCTGAGTCTATTTGCTAAGGCTTAAAGTTACAGGCCTGGGGGCAATCTTCTTGCTCACCAAGAAAGCAGAGATGTGATGATGCAGGGTGGCCTGCCACAAAGAGAGAAGGCCCCTCTAAGTCTTCTACTTCTCACTGACAGGACCTTTCCCAAAGGGCCACAGATGAAGTGAGGCAACCGCAGGATGCTCCAAGATCAGTCTGTGTCCTCCTGCTTTATGCTGCTGATAGGAACAGGAAGCTCTGTGGTTTCAAACTCTGCCTCCAAGGGGTCGATGGTTTCTTCTTTCACCTGCACAGCAATGACTAGCAAAGGAAAAAGAGAAGGGGAAATCAATACAGGGAAAGCCAGTGTGGTCCACCTTCTCTCTGTCCATGCAAAGGCGAAATTAAGCCTTTATGAGCAGCAGGAACTCTTCTGAGACCCCACCCCATGCACACCAAGCACCCTACCCAACCCCCTTCCCCAGCACCAGAGAGCTGCACATTGCTACAGGGTCAAGGAATGCATTCCCTTACTCTCGTCAGGTGCTGGATCTGGCAAAGCTTTGCTGGAAGCTTTTGCTTCTCGCTTTAGCCGTGAGACGGGAGGCTTCTTGGCCGTCTGCTTGATGGTGCGGGTTTTGGCAGGTAACTTTTTTCCTTAAGAAAGAGATAACAAAGCATAGGAAAATGTGCACTTCTTTCCCCTGCTAGATCAGCACCCCAGCTCCACTGAGAAGCCACAGGCCAGGGACCAGCGCAACCAACCAGCAAACTGCACCATCATTAGCTGCCAACTGGTTACATAAAAAAAAAGGAAAGGAGCTACTGAAGAAGAACTCTACATTCATCATTTCAACATATGCTCCTCCGTGTTGTCCTTCATTAGAGATAATGGACTTCAGCATGTGCCTAAATTCCCAGGAGCTGGTCCTCTTGGAGTCCATTCAAGATTTGCTTACCTGTCTGGGTCTAGCCCTAAGAAATGGGCACGGTGGCTCCAGGGCATGGACACTGTAGCATTGCTATTTTCCATTTTAGCTGACGTTTTTACTTAGGTTCAGTGTCTGTGTACTCTTTAGATGTCCATTCCTCTCCACCCCCCGGGGAATGAACTCCTTGCCCGTCTACGCATGACTTGCCATATCTACTGCAACAACGACAGCAACGAGGACAAGGTAGAACAGTGACACGGTCCAGCCCCACTACTGGCCTCTCCAGCCATCTTAAGGCTTTCTTTCCTTCAGCACAAAGCAGCCAGGGCTGCTTTCTGGCTGCCCTCCAGCTGTGGCCAAGAAACTCCCTCTTACCACAGACATGGTGGGAAAGCAGCACACCTCACGCCTGCAAACAAGCACCATTTGTACCTCAGCCAACAGAAAAGACTGTGAGACAGAGCCTTCCCACACACGCACGGCGCTCTGCTCTTGGGTAATGGGGGCGAGTAAGAAGGATGAAGCTGAGCTGTCACACCCAGAGCTGACTGAGAGCACACACAGCAAGACGAGGCCTCTCTCTCCTGCTCTGCTCATACACAGGGTTCCTCTCACTGGGCCCAGCCTGCGAGCGAGCGGGAGGGCACTAATCAAACATCACTCACTCTTCTTTCCATAGGGTTTCTTCCTCTTCTTGGGCACCTCCTTGGCCTTCACTGGAGTTGTGAGCTCTGCCATAGAGACGAGAGGGAAACGAAAGCCAAGTCCCACAACCAGTAGGTAACTGGGATGAAGTGATATAAGCGAGAAACAAGATACACCCGTCCCCCCGAGTCAGCGCCCTCTTCCCCAGACAACCGGCTGAGGGGAAAGCAAGGCCCTAGTGCAGCTGTTGTCTGTGCTTCCACGTGAGGGCACAGGGTGACAGGCTGGGGCAGCACAGGGGAGAGAGGCCTAGTGCATGTCGGGCAGGAACAGGCAGAGAAAATGAGCTCTGTAGCTTGGATGCAAGAGGAAGTAATCTGCAGAGGTGAGGCAATGGCCTCCCTGTGACAAGGAAAGGAACAAACTCTTGAGAGGGAAACTCTTACCTTCCACAGAGTCAGAGAAATTACGAGCTAAGGGAGCGGTGCCCGAGGTGCCCCTGCTACCTGGCTAAGGCTGTAGTGTGCTTAGGAAGAGGGAGCTGTGCAGGGACAGGACCACCTGAACTCTACCCAACCTCAGCACAAGCAGCTCTCTGTCGGTGTGCAGGTGGGGACGCCGAGGGGAACCTGAGCCAACCTCAAACCTCAGGTTGTTTTCTCCTCACCACACACTCCTTCCTCTGCCAGTTGCAAGCTCGTGCGGCTGCAGAGAAGGACTTGTGGGAGCCAGCCCAGCCCAAGCTGTCAAATGGGCCAAAACGAGGAGCCGCTCACAGAGAAGGAGGGAGGACACCTTGGCCTCCAGCATTAGAAACCAGAGTCAAGTCTTCACTCACCTGGAACAACAGGCGGCTGCAGCTGGTAACCTGTCAGTTCGCACCACCCCACAGGATAGATGTCTGGAGACTCACAGTCCACCCACTGGTCATACTCGTTGTCCCAGCCATCAAAATGGATGCTGAGGAGACGGTGCACTACACGCTTCACCGTGGCCACACATATGAGCCGGGGTTCCATCAGATCCACTGCTTCCACCTTCATGCCTGCCTTGAAGCCGTGGTTTGGGCAGTCCTGAGTGCATTAAGAAGATAAAGGAAAACTCAAGGCGATTGCATCCAGACCAAAGCCATACTGGACAGCAGTTCCCTGCAACAGCTACAGGCTTGCCTACAGCAAGCAGAAAGAAAAAGCCCACTCTCAAGCCTGAACACAGGCAGAAATTGCTGACGGAGCCTGTAGGATCTCCCTCCCTCTCTCCCTGGAGACCTTCAGAAGCCATCTGGACGTGGGCCTAGGCACCCTGCTCTAGGTGTCCCTGCTCAAGCAGGTTGGAACAGATGGACGCAGAAGCCCCTTCCAGCCTCAACCACTCGACAACAGACAGAACTCTTGTGGCCTTTCTTGCTGACTACAAACACATCTCTTCTCCTGGGCAGCACTCACTGTGTTGAAGAGCCGTGCCGGAACAGATCTTGATTTTGTCATTTCCAGGTAACTTTCCCAGTTGAAAGTCTTTGCATCTTGGCCTGAAGGAGGAAAAAGAGGTCAGAGAAAAAACACAACCACTGGGCAGATCAGCTGAGAGAAAAGGCAAGAGAGAAGCACAGTAGCTACCTCCAAAGCGTGTAAATCTGATTTGGACATACTCTTAGAGTACAGATTCCACGGCAGTCCAGCACCTCCCTCCAGTGGGAAGAGAGAAAAGATGCAACACCCACGTCAATCGTATATCAGACCACAGAAATAGGTGAGGAGAAACAATCAAGAAGGGATTTGATCGCACATCCAAAGCAAACCACTACAAGCAATCTTTATCCCACCCACAGCAACATCAAGGGAAGACAGAATAGCACTACACAAAATGCTGCAACACAAATTCAGAGTAGGCCTGTTTGGGCATGGCCAGGTGAGGCAGTAAAATCCACTCTTAGAGGGATGGTATATCAGACTCGATTTATCTGTGCAACAAGAGGTGGCTCCTGCCATTTCTAGTGGTCCGAGTCACAGAGCAATAGCTCCAGTTATCACTTCCCAGCGTTGTTATCCTTTACACCGCTGGTTATTCACTGGAGTTGTACACCTGTCCCCATGATCCTTCAGGTGCTAAACTAACAGTGATGCCCTCTGGAGACGTTGCTTCATTTCACCAAGACTCGGTACTGAGTGAGAGCTTTTCCTCCAGTCAGCTAGATCTCAAAAACCAGGAAGGGTGGAACTCA